AACACAACAATCACAGTGTTACTGGTTTGCAATGCTCAGCTGAAGAATGTGAAGTTTTTTACTTGAGTAATGCTTCCCTGTGTACATGTATCCAGTACAGATTGCCAAAAGGACCTCATAAAATTTTGTTGAGATCAGCAATGCTCAATGCTGAACCTACAACATAGGATTCTGGGAGTTGGATACTAATGCTTTTTGGAGAGGCTTTAAATCCTTGTTTTCACATCTGAAGACTTTTAGACATGGACAGATGAGCAAACAGGTAAGAAGTAAGTTCTCTCCACATTGTTAACTCTGTAATTCTGTACAGGAAATCCCTGCTCCACAGAATGGAGACGTACGTGCTGAGAGTTTCATTCCACTTACTTACATTTTATTTCATTCCCATTCAGCACCTGGGGCTATTTGCATGTGTAGAAGAAACGTGCTTAAGAGACCTGATGAGTTAAGGCCCTTCCAGCCCTACCTCAAGCACTAGAACATGGAAGAAACACAGAAAACAAGATGATAGCAGCCATCTACAACTTAAGGTATGTGAAAACTTTCAAAAGAAAAAGGGACCTGGTGGATTAAAGAGAAAATACGTAGAAGTGAACATCTATGAGGTTACAATATTCTGTAAAGGTGTGTGTGGTGTGTAGGCATACTGCAATAACCTGACGGTTGCTTCCCATATGTAAAACAGTATGCTGATAGGTATAAGCATATACAGGATTGCTTTTAAGGTGTTTGGGGCTTTTTTAGAGAAAAAAAGGTTAAGGGAGGAGTTATTTTCTTTAAATTAAGGAAAATAAAATGAATTCTTACAAAGGTGCATCATGCTGATTAAAAGAGTTTTTTTTAAAAAATGAAATCAAAATGATTCATTTTAATTCCAAATATTCATACCATTTTTTCTGTTATTTTGGGGGTGGTTTATTTTGTATGGGTGGCTTGATTCCTCTCCTCCTGCCCCTCAATATTTCCACCTAGGAGCAGAGAAACTGTAAAAGTATTTCCCCATCCCCCCCCCCAAATCTACTTTCTAAAGTCTCTTTTGTCCCTTTTCCTAGTGAAAAGAAGTAAGAGTAACATTTATGTATTTATAAAGTTGAAGAAAGGAGAAAAGGACAATGGAAATGATACCTTTAACAGAAAAGAAGCAAGAGCGTTAGTTTTACTTTTAATACCAGTTTTGGGCAGACAGATATTTCTGACAGGAAATTTTTCCACCTGAACGAATTCAGCCAGTTGTACTTCATGGCCATCTCCCCCAAAATGTCTATGACTAGAATACATCAGCTCAGTCGTAACTGGCATTGATAAAACAGAAATACTAAAAATTCAGACACAAATGTCTGTTGCAATGTTCCTTGTAACTGGTGTAATCTATTAAAAAAAAAAATCTATGCTAGAGTAAGTTACTTAGCTATTTGAATACCTTTCTTTTTAGCTATACTATATACGGAGATGAATACTCCTGGGTCACACCTTGCTTCGTGTTGTTTTTTTCATGCGCTTTATTCTTTTTTGTTAGTATACCTGATTTTCTTCTTCATTGTCATTCCAATGATTTAATTTTCTTGTAGAAATACTACTAAATTGCATAGTAATTCCAGCCATGCTATTGCGGAATAAATTATATTTAACTCTAGATAGCTAGTGACAGAAAACAGACTGACTGAAAACTGTATCTAATAATAGCTCTTGAGATAATGTCCTAAGTGAGAAACATAGGAAAGCCCATTATGTAAGAAATAATAAACAACACAGTTTTGTTATATACTTAGCTCACACGAATGCTGATCAGAATATTCAAGAAAGTGATACAAAATAAAGCCTCTAATCAAAAGGGCCAAGCGTGGTCTGAGGAAACCAATGAAAATATGATTGTGCACTGCAAATAATGAGTGTCTATTAGTCTCCCAAGAGAAGCAAGAGCTTAGTCCTAAGACTAAACTTGCAGTAGGTATTGCTGGATGGTGATAACTCATGTTCAGAGTGTGGCTAGTGAGGATTTTCCTACACACCCGTATTTCACCCCAGGGCAAGCAATGCCTAAGTATGTAATTTTCCTCAGTCCCGCAAGTGCTCCATGCTTCTGCTCCTTGACTGAGAAAGCTTAAATCTGTTTTTCCTTCTTCGAATTTGTATCTAAATTGATACTATCTAGATTGCATTGTATCTAGGTGCTGCCCATCTCTGCATAAACAAGAACATAGTTGTTCCAGCACCTTCCAAATTTCAGCTATTTGTTCATCATTCTGGAACTGTGTGTTACCTGTCAACAGACTATTGTATTCCAAAACTTAACACTCCTGAACTGTAAAGATGGACAATATTCCTTTCCAATGACCTTGGACCAATACAGACTTGGTGAATTGTATTCCAAGTGAGGCTACAGAATGATCAGTCGTGATTCCCAGCAGTCATGTTACTTGGGCTTTATTCTCTTCATTTTTTATTCTATTTTTCTGTGTCTATGCAGTTTAGCACATAAGCTGAAACCCGCTGTAAATACCGGCATTACTTTTCTGTACATGTAATAACAGCAGTTGAACTGAGGTGAAGCATCATCGTGTAAGTGCAGAGCAGTGGTCTAATGAGATCGTTCCTTCTAGACTCTCACTTCCAAGCGGGCAGAAGCAGTGCTCTGTTTCCATGCCCAGCCTTCCCACTTTCTCCAATCTGCACAGGAGAAAGAGGCTAAAAAGCAAGGTAAAGTGTTCCTTCTTCAAGATGCAGAAATGTTACATAGATGGCATAACTTAAGCATGCGTTACAGAGGCAGCAATTCAGAGAACTCGTGTCCTGTAACAGTGGGTGATCTCCTGGTGAGAAAAGCTCACAGTGATTTCCTCTTCCCTGAACTCTTGGGGAAAACTCCCTGGGGGATTTTCCATGAGAGATGATCCAGGTTGTGCACAACAGACAGTGAAACGGTCTCTTCAACTAGTCACTTAACTTGGCTTTTCTCACCCTGACTGTGGTATTTTTTTCCATGGGTAGCTGCCTACTTGATTAATCTCATTTCCGCTGGCCCTCAGCCTTTCCATTCACCTTCCAGCTGAGCAAACAAAGGGGTGGGCAGCCATTTTAAAACGCTTCCTCCCCCAGTCCCTCCGGGGTAGGCCCTCCGTTCATCCTGTTCATAAAACAACTGTTTTAACAATCTCTGAGAAATGTGCCTCTTTACTATTGCTTGGATCAAGAAACCTCCACTGGGATCAGCTTAAAAAGGCTAACATCTGCCACCTGGGAACTACCATTCAGCTAATGACCTTATTACTGCTCAATGGAGTGGACTTACTAAAGCTCGTGGCACTTGTATCAGTTAGGAAAGTCTGGAGTAAGCAGGCCAATGTTATATTACAGTCTGAATTTCTATATTCAGTCTCTGTATCATACAGTAACGTTAAAAAATAAATGCCTTGTAAAGAAAACTTTAACAAATCCCTGAAAATTAAACCCTCAGTCCTAAATAGGAATTGATATTCTGCTACAAGCTACTCAAACACATGGGAACGGCATGGCTTTTGTCAATGAAAATGCAAAATAATTAATGCAAGGAACATTGAAGCTTTTGCAGCTTTTTGAGCATGCCAGGAGTGCCGAGTTCAGCAACAGCAACCTGCCTCTGCTCCGCACAGCTTCTCACACCCAGGCTAATGTGGAATATGTTTCTTGAGTACTAAGTCAGTTTCTAGAATAACGAGTTTGCGGTGCAAGGATTGATGCCGAACGTACCTCGGCTGTGCCCAGAGCGCTGCGGTCAACGCGCCACGGAGCCGGAGCCGGAGCCGGAGCCGCTCTGCGGGGAGGCCCGCGGGGAGGCCGGCGCGTGCTCCTCTCCGCCCTACCCAACAACAGCGGGAGCCGACAGAAAACAAACGCCTGGTGTTATTTTAGGCTCGTGTGACCCCATCAAAACGAGTCCCCAGCGCTTGGGGCGACCCTCTCCCCCCGCGGCCTCTCCACCCTGAGAAACCCACC